CCAATGAAAGCCTGCACGGACACATCCATAATCACAACAAAACACATTCCTCACCGGCAATATGTGACAAAGCCTACCGATCACAGGCAGCCTTGGTTTGGGCTTTCATTGTAGAGAAGGCTGGCTACTGCAAAGTACAAAGCATGGCAAAGGTATAAGAGAAATCCCTACCACCTATAGCAGGAACTTGCACAGGCAAGCCTGTAAGGCATATGGGTGAGTTCAAAAGTAGCCATTGCGGAATGGGAGGTGACACAAAGAAAGCAAGCCATCCAGGTACGGTAGGCTCCAAAACCTGGTGGTCCCTGGTCAAGGACAGACAATGTTATCTGCCTGATGAACTCATTCCCACCTCAAAATCGGACAGATGGGACCACCTACTAGTAGTCAAGAGAAGGCAGACTTCTTTGGCTGAACACTTTGCTACCAAATGCAAGCTCCTGATCCAGCAAGGGACCCCCTCCATTGGCTACTGCAAGAACTAAGTCAAAACTGTCAGTGGTGTCGCAAATAAGGCAGGAGGAGGTGCATGTTCCTTCTAAAATCGCTTGAAACCAAGAAAGTGCTGTAGGCCCAGACAAGTTGACCCAAGATTTGCTGAGAAAATGTGCAGACCCAGCTAGCAGCACCTCTAACTCGCATCTTTCGCACTTGCCAAGGTACAGTGCAAATGGCCCTCTATGTGGAAATAGGCAAATGTATCCCGTTCAGAAAAAGAAGAGCAAGCAGAAATCACAACTACAGACCAGTGTCACACCTGTCAATCACAGTGTAAGAGCCTTGAGACAATAATCTCAAGACAAAAATGAACAGAGTTTTTTTTGACCCCTTACCCACTCACTACTTTTGTGATCGTCAATATGGCTTTTTTTTTTTCCTCAAGGAAAAGGTTACTTTGCTGCTGATGCTGTTGCAAAACTCTCCACTATAGTGGCACCAGTCACTGGATGAATCCCAAAGTCAGCTGTGTGGTAGCACTGATATTGCTGGTGCTTTCGAATCGAAAACCGGGTGTGGCACCAGGCCCTCTTAGCAAAACTTCAAGAACAGGAATTTGCAGGCTCTACACTATGTCTCTCAGAGATACCTTCCATGGTAGATCTCTTAATGTAAGTTCTCAATGGAACGGAATCAGCAAGACATCACAACTGGGCAAGTGTTCCCACAAGGAAGCGTGCTGGGACCATTGTTATGGAATGTCTACTTCAACGACCTTCTTCATCTCATCCCAGAATCACATGCATATGCAGATGACTGTACACTGACATTCACTTATCCAAGAGAAGAAATGCCAGCTGTTCTAAGCTACATCAATCACCAGCTAAGAGCTATATCAGCTTGGGGAAATAGATGGCAAGTAACATTTGCACCTGAGAAAACGCAAATGCTGATCGTCTCTAGGCACTATGATGGTAATGCTGGTGCAGTCGTAAGGATGAATGGGAGGGTGTTGGCACCTGGAGAAGTTGATATCCTTGGGGTGAAATTTGACTCCATACTAACCATGAAGAACCATGTTGTAAATCTAGCAAACAAGGCAGCCAGGAAGCTTACAGCACTTCGCCGTATCTCGCATCAGCTTGACAGTAGGGTTGCAAGATTATAGAACGAGGCACAAGTACGATCACACCTTGAGTATGCTCCACTTTCTTAGTTTGCCTGCCCCCCCTCTCATCTGCGACTGCTTGACAGAGTGGAGAACAGAGCAAGACGTCTCATCTCTCGCCTGGACCCATCCTGGATAGATCTGTCATTTCAGCAGAGCTTTCAACACAGGAGGGATGTGGGTGGGCTTACTGTTATGTACAAGGCCAATATTGTCAAAGTACCACACTTGGATCCACTTCGAGGACAGCGTGAAAAAAGCTTGTATGCCACAAGACGGGCAGAAAGCAGCAACTTCACTCTGGCTGTACCCTTCTCCAGAACATCACTTCATCTGAGATCATTTATCCCCAGAATGAATCGAGTCTGGAACATATTCGTACAGCATAATGATGTATACGAGATAAAGTCAGTTGATCAAATGAAAATGCTGGCCCACAGATGGCTCCAACTTCATCCTGTTCCCTAGTTGTATGTCTCATAACAATAAAAATGCTTTCAAATGAGCTGATGTAGGTAACAGCTCTTAGCTTGCCAATAAAGTTATGAATCTTTAACCTGTAAATAGCTTGTTAATAAAGCTAGGGAACCTTAACCTTGTCAAATCCTGTGTTAAAAAAAAAAAAAAGAGGGAGAGGGAGAGAGGGAAGGAGAGGGGGGGAAGGAGAGGGGGGAAGGAGAGGGGGGAAGGAGAGGGGGAAGGAGAGGGGGGAAGGAGACAGAATGAGAGGGAAGGAGAGGGGAGAAGGAGAGGGAAGGAGAGGGAAGGAGAGGGAAGGAGAGGGAGAGAGTCAGCAGAGCCTTCAACACAGGAGAGATGTGGGTGGCCTTACTGTTATATACAAGGCCAATATTGTCAAAGTACCACACTTGGATCCACTTCGAGAACAGCGTGAAAAAAGCTTGTATGCCACAAGACGGGCAGAAAGCAGCAACTTCACTCTGGCTGTACCCTTCTCCAGAACATCACTTCATCTGAGATCATTTATCCCCAGAATGAATTGAGTCTGGAACACATTCGTACAGCATTGTGATGTCAACAAGATAAAGTCAGTTGATCAAATGAAAATGCTGGCCTGCAGATGGCTCCAACTTCATCCTGCTCCCTACTTGTATGTTTCATAATAATCAAAATGCTTTCCAATGAGCTGATGCAGGTAACAGCTCTTAGCTTGCCAATAAAGTTAGGAATCCTTAACCTGTAAATAGCTTGTCAATAAAGCTAGGGATCCTTAACCTTGTCAAACCCTGTGTAAAAAAAAGAGAGAGAGAGAGAGAGAGAGAGAGAGAGAGAGAGAGAGAGAGAGACAGAGATAGACAGAGAGAGAGACAGAGAGAGTGAGTGACAGACAGAGAGAGAGACAGAGAGAGAGACAGAGAGTGACAGACAGACAGTGTGAAGCAAGTTTCTATACCACAAGACGGGCAGAAAGCAGCAACTTCACTCTGGCTGTACCCTTCTCCAGAACATCACTCCATCTGAGATCATTTATTCCCAGGATGACTCGAGTCTGGAACACATTCGTACAGCATAATGATGTCAACGAGATAAAGCCAGATGATCAGATGACAATGCTGGCCCACAGATGGCTCCAACTTCATCCTGTTCCCTACTTGTATGTTTCATAACAATAAAAATGCTTTCAAATGAGCTGATGTAAATAACAGCTCTTAGCTTGCCAATAAAGTTAGGAATCCTTAACTTGTAAATAGCTTGTCAATAAAGCTAGGGATCCTTAACCTAACCTTGTCAAACCCTTCGTAAAAAAAAAAAGATGGGGGGGCAGAGAGAGAGAGAGAGACGGACAGAGAGAGAGAGAGAGAGAGAGAGAGAGAGAGAGAGAGACGGACAGAGAGAGAGAGACGGACAGAGAGAGAGAGACGGACAGAGAGAGAGAGAGAGACGGACAGAGAGAGAGAGAGAGAGACGGACAAAGAGAGAGAGACGGACAGAGAGAGGGACAGAGAGAGAGAGACGGACAGAGAGAGAGAGAGACGGACAGAGAGAGAGACAGACAGAGAGCTCTTAGCTTGCCAATAAGTTAGGAATCCTTAACCTGTAAATAGCTTGTCAATAAAGCTAGGGATCCTTAACCTTGTCAAACCCTGTGTAAAAAAAAAAAAAAAAAAAGACAGAGAGAGAGACCGAGAGAGAGACAGAGAGACAGAGAGAGAGAGCAATAAGGGGTGGGAGGATGCAATGATAATGGTGGCTGATGCCACTACTGTTTGCTCTACTTATTATAATAATGTAAAGGGCAAGGTTGATATTATGTTAACTGTATATAAAAATAATAGAATATCTTGAAAATACTTTGAATACCAGCTACCTGTATCTGTAGTGGTGGTAGATGATTCAGTATCAGCAATAGTAGTAGTAGTAGTAGATAGGGATGAGGGGAGGGTGTGTATATCCTCAGTGGTAGAGGAAGTATATAAGGGAGGGTGAGGGGTTGACTCAACATCCACTTCCACCACTGGTGGCAAAGTGGGCTGTTCGGCGATGATGGGAATATCTTCATAGCCACTAACGTTGGTACTCGCTACTTCTCGTCCTGCAGCCCCAAGGTCATCATTCACAGAAACAAGCAGCAAACGAAAGGCAGAATTAGCATCACGGCAATGCAAGTGCTGGCAGAAATTTGCCCTTATGTGGACCTGTATGTTTAGTAATTCAGTCTTCAGCTTCTTTATACACCCAACACGCACAACTGATTCTCACTCTGATGAAAATAATATTATAAAACAAAAGATTAAAGCAATACACAAGGTCACCAATTTACAAATGCCACAAGTTACATTCGTACTTACGATCAGTGCACTTTTGAACTAATTAAGGTTGTATAAATGCCTGGCACTGGTATAAGTACATGTAAAACAATGGATGGTTATTAAAGCTGCACAGAACCTATTCACTACCCATCAAGAATGCTTTCTTAAGAGGAATTTAATGAACCTCTTGGTGTATACAATCCCCCATTGAACTACATGTACAGGCTTAATGACAATGGGTATGTGTGCAGAGACTTTGCAAAAGAAGCTTTCATTAAAATAATGTTTAAGAGTTGAGCTTCATCATGACTTTTGATATAGTTCAACCCTGACCAAAATGATGCCCTCCAATAAAAGCTTTTTATGCATATTGTGTCTAGATATTCACTATACTGATATTTCTATACAAACAAATTTTTTTAAGTTGAAAACAGTAGCACAACTTGCTCATAAGTTTGGAGACCTTGTGTATGTGCATCCAGAACTGTCTAACTATATGCTTAATAGCAAAACTAACATGCAGTACAAAAAAAAAAAATACTAATATTAGCAAGGAGCATAAGTAAGAGATTAACAATAACTGTCTTTATTAAGCAGGTGGGGATGGCTTCAGTAATCAGTATCTGTTTTCTACCACTAATAAAAATCTTTACAGAAATGAGCAATGTGATACATTACAGCAAGAAGCATCACATTTGCATTAATCTTCAATGAGTTATAATTATTATTTACAGCTGTGTTTTGTTGAATAACTTCATAAATACACTAAGTCTAGACACATGCTTCATCAAGTCTTCTACATACTCTTGATGCAATGGTATACAATGTTTCTGGCATGCTATAACACTAATATACTAAGAGAGGAAACAGTGGAGAATAACTCAATGGCTCATTATTGAGTCAGCTAAACTTGTTACTTATTACTAAATGAATTGTATACTGTAGTTCATTATAATAAAGATCTGGATTTTGATTTTGGTATGCATATGTACAGTGTTCAACAAATGCATTTACCACTTGTATTTATGACCAGCACAGCTCTGTCACCATCTCCTGCATGCCAGTAGATCTGCATTTTAAGCACAGCATCCTCATATATGCTGTAAGCAGTAAATTTTGGCCTAGACATAAGAGAATGGGTCTGTGTAGTGGGTGTGACCAATATAAAAAAATCCTTCCCCATGCAGTGCATGATGGGAAAAGCAGACCTCAGACTTTGTGTTAAAACAGCTACTCAGAGGTGTTTTCTAGGGTAATTTCATAGTTTTACTGTTTGTTTCTTGATATCACTTGACAGACTGGAAATCATATTAGTGAAACACAGATGATTTTGGTCAGTTTCAGACAAGATGTAGCTTGAAATAAGCCTCGAAGTGGAATTTTTTTTTTTTTTTTTTTTTTTAGATTTTTCTTAACCCCCTTCCCCTGGTGTATATTATGGGTTATACTAGGTGTGCTTCAATTATTGGGATGGCCTAAATCATGACCAATTATTCTTTATTATATTTTGTCTGAGAAATAGGGTAAAACTTCGATTTTGTGTGATGGAAAAAATGCATGGCAAGTGCTATACAAAAAGATACGGGAACATGATTAATGAACAAAGAAAAAGTTGCTTTAGTGTCAGGAATGCCTACAGTGTTTATTTTTAACTCTACTTTCAGATTGGAATTTATTGAGGTTTATGTAAAAATTGGCCAAATTACAGTTTTCTGTGCACTTTATGGGGTAGTTCTGATAGAGGAGAGTCCTGCTTTACAGTGCTTCACTTTACAGCACTTTATGGGGTAGTTCTGATAGAGGAGAGTCCTGCTTTACAGTGCTTCACTTTACAGCACTTTATGGGGTAGTTCTGATAGAGGAGAGTCCTGCTTTACAGTGCTTCACTTTACAGCACTTTATGGGGTAGTTCTGATAGAGGAGAGTCCTGCTTTACAGTGCTTCACTTTACAGCACTTTATGGGGTAGTTCTGATAGAGGAGAGTCCTGCTTTACAGTGCTTCACTTTACAGCACTTTATGGGGTAGTTCTGATAGAGGAGAGTCCTGCTTTACAGTGCTTCACTTTACAGCACTTCGCTAATGCAACGGTTTTCACTTATACCCACTCTTCGTTCATTCAGATTTCCTACAACAGATATATTTACCACTCACTATAAGTTAAATATAAGTTGAATATAATGCAGAGAATTCGTAGTTTGGAAGTTAGGAGGAGGTGCGGGATTACCAAAACTGTTGTCCAGAGGGCTGAGGAAGGGTTGTTGAGGTGGTTCGGACATGTAGAGAGAATGGAGCGAAACAGAATGACTTCAAGAGTGTATCAGTCTGTAGTGGAAGGAAGGCGGGGTAGGGGTCAGCCTAGGAAAGGTTGGAGAGAGGGGGTAAAGGAGGTTTTGTGTGCGAGGGGCTTGGACTTCCAGCAGGCATGCGTGAGCATGTTTGATAGGAGTGAATGGAGACAAATGGTTTTTAATACGACGTGCTGTTGGAGTGTGAGCAAAGTAACATTTATGAAGGGGTTCAGGGAAACTGGCAGGCCAGACTTGAGTCCTGGAGATGGGAAGTACAGTGCCTGCACTCTGAAGGAGGGGTGTTAATGTTGCAGTTTAAAAACTGTAGTGTAAAGCACCCTTCTGGCAAGACAGTGATGGAGTGAATGATGGTGAAAGTTTTTCTTTTTCGGGCCACCCTGCCTTGGTGGGAATCGGCCAGTGTGATAATAAAAAAAAAATAAAAATAAAAAACGATAGATTTTATTTCTTTGCAAAGGTTACAATGTGTAATTACAATTGTGATTTGCTAAGTACGAAGAAAGCCACTATCATGCCAGGGCATTTCGGGCAGACTAATCCTAATACTTAAATCTACTAAAGTCTAAACAAGATAAGAGTGGCTATCTTTTTAATAAATCTTTATTGTATCTTAATACTAATGCAAGGTAGTCAGAGGTGGAGGTTTATAAGAATAACAATCCAGGACTCAAATCTGGCCTGCCTGTTACCCTGAATCCTTTCATAAATGTTACCTTGGTCACACTTCAACAGCACATCAAGTCCTAAAAACCATTTGGCTCCATTTGCTCCTATCTAACGCACTCACGCATGCTTGCTGGAAGTCCAAGCCCCTCGCACACAAAACCTCCTTTACCCCTTCCCTCCAACCTTACCTACGCTGACCCCTACCACGCCTTCCCTCCACTACAGATTAATACACTCTTGAAGTCATTCCAGTTTGTTCCATCCTCTCTACATGTCTGAACCACCTCAACAACCCCTCCTCAGCCATCCAGATAATAGTTTTGGTAAACCTACACCTCCTAATTTCCAAAATACAAATTCTCTGCATTATATTCACACCACACATTGCCCTCAGACATGACATCTCCACCGCCTCCAGCCTTCTCCTCGTTGCGACATTCACTACCGATGCTTCACACCCATATAAGAGCATTGGTGGTATAACTATACTCTCGTACATTTCCCTCTTTGCTTCCATGGACAAAGTTCTTTGTCTCCATTGACTCCTAGGTGCATATAAATGCACTGTTGCTTAGTTAATATATGATACTGTAAACGTGTTATCAGGCATATGCACTTGAAAGTGAAAAATGGCTGTTTTACTATGTTTCACCGTACAGCAGTAGCCTGGACCCTAAACTGCTGTGTAAGTGGGGCTGTCCTGTAGATGAACGGGCAGTTTCTTGCAAACAATCGATAGAATGGAAGACAAATTAGCAAAATAGTTATGAAGTAGATCGATTTGAGCACTGAAACTGGCTTAAAATAAGACTTAAAGTGGGTGAAATCACCTATGCATAAATTGTGCCCAGACTACCAACTTTTTGCTTTTGTAATTCCATAAGTTTACCATAAAATTATCTACCATTCCAGTAGATAATTTTTCTTTTTAAAAAATTGTGACACTGTCAGCACTTTTAATTTCAGAGGTCATGACACTGAAAGGGTTAAACAAAGAGCCTACCTACATAAAAGACTCTTAGGAGGGCATAGCTATCCCTGACATATCAGGCAATTGTGGTGCCAATACAAAAAGTAAATGTGAGGCATCGTCTTTGAATGCTGCAGCAATACAAAGGCTGGAGGCAGTGGATACGGTTGAGAGCAGTGTGTAGTGTGAATATTATGCAGAGAATAAAAAGTGAAGAAATAACAGTCTGATGGTGTGAAAAGAATGATTCAAAGCATGGTTCGGTCAATTAAAAAGTGTTAAGCAGGATAGGTTGACCAACAGGGTGCATAAATCAAGGGTGGATGGAAGATGTAGGTATACACACAGAATGAGAGGAGGGTGAAAAAACTTTAACCCCTTCAGTGTCATAACCTCCAGAATTAAAATTGCCAACACTCACTGCGGAGACCCATTCTCTTGTTTCTAGGCAAAAATTTACCACTCATAGCATATTTGTGGAAGCTGTGCTTAATACGTAATCTGCATGATGCTGGCGTCAATAACATAGATTCACATAAGAGACAGTGAAGGGGTTAAATGATAGGGGAGACATGCTAATGGAGCAAACATTAATATTTATGAAGGGATTCTGAGAAAACGATTAGCAAAACTTAAGTTCTACAGTGACTATCCTATGAAGAATGTGTGGGATGTTATAATTCAGTGTGTCATCTGACCTGTGAATTCAATGCACTTCTGAGAAAATAAATAAGAATGAGTGATGGTTAATGTGTTTCCTTGTCTGATTGATACTACCCTGGTAAGAATGTACTTGAAAAATATCAAATTTCCATAAGCATATCAATTTGACTAATTTTTCTCAGAATATAGTAAGGGATGAGTAGCCAAAGACAGAAATGTGAAACCCCACAAAGCGGTGTGAAATTTCCTTAATAGATAGCATTTCATCTTATGCAATGTCAATTCTACAGATTTGATAAGGCATTATTTAGGCTAAAACAATATCTATGAAAAAAAGTTTGCTCTGACTACATGTGTTTCACATTTCTATTTTTTCTCAAGGTAAACAAGTTTCATTTTTAAAAATGTAACATACTGCACTTTTCTTAATATTAATGTCTTAAACAAAATCATTACAGAAGAAAACAACACTATTACAGAAGCCATCCCCAACCATGGTATCGAGCATTTATTTTCAATCATTTTCCAACTGAGTGAATGCGTTTAATCTTAAGAAATAATAAAAAAGTACTGAAAGCATGCATGTTTCTTATTTCCATACCAACAGACGGCTTCTCAAAGACTGAAGAACTCTTCTGCAAAGGACACTTCTGTAAATGTGCATTGAGTCGATCTTGACTCTGAGCAAAGTTGACAAGTTTGCTGTTAAGAGTAGCATCTCCAATACAGCCGTAGAAGTTAGTGTCAGTGGCCGAGGCAGCAGCAGCTATGTTGTAAATTTCAGGAACTCCACCAAAATATACCGGCCCGTCAAATGGCACTGCCTGTTCTGCCACTTTGACTCTATAGATTTGATATATTATTATAATAACCAGAGTTGTTTCTAGTAAGTTATGCAAATTTTACTTTCTAATTGATATAACTATGAAATTTTTTTTTTCTATAAAATATTCTATATACATGTATATATATTGCAGTGCAACAGCTCCTACACCTGGTATTACTGAAGGCAGTGAGAAGGCAGGTACCTGAAACAGACACTGCATATACTCTTAATGTGCTAATAACTCAAGATAAAGAAATTTCAAGACTTGGTATAAAAAATAAACCTAAGTCTTAACCCTTAAATTGTCCAAACTTAGATCTATGTTCACCTGTGTAACGTTCCGAATATTTGAAAAAAAAAAAAAAAATTCCTTTAAAGTGCAGGCACTGTACTTCCCATTTCCAGGACTCAAGTCCGGCTATATAAAAATAACCGGTTTCCCTGAATCCCTTCACTAAATATTACCCTGCTCACACTCCAACAGCTCATCAGGTCCCAAATACCATTCGTCTCCATTCACTCCTATCTAACACGCTCACGCATGCTTGCTCAAAGTCCAAGCCCCTCGCCCACAAAACCTTTACCCCTTCCCTCCAACCTTTTCGAGGATGACCCCTACCCTGCCTTCCTTCTCCTATAGATTTATACACTCTCCATGTCATTCTACTTTGGTCCATTCTCTCTAAATGACCAAACCACCTCAACAACCCCTCTTCAGCCCTCTGACTAATACTTTTATTAACTCCACACCATCTTCTAATTTCCACACTCCAAATTCTCTGCATAATATTTACACCACACATTGCCCTTAGACGGGACATGTCCACCGCCTCCTCGCTGTAGCATTTACAACCCAAGCTTCACACCCATGTAAGTGTTGGTACTAGTATACTTTCATACATTCCCTTCTTTGCCTCCATAGATAATGTTTTTTGTCTCCACATATACCTCAATGCATCACTCACCTTTTTTCCCTCATCAATTCTATGATTAGCCTCATCCTTCATAAATCCATCCGCTGACATGTCTACTCCCAAACAGTATCTGAAAACATTCACTTCTTCCATACTCCTCCTCTCTAATTTGATATCCATTTTTTCTTTATCTAAATCATTTGATACCCTCATCACCTTACTCTTTTCTATATTCACTTTCAACTTTCTATGTTTACACACTCCCAAACTCGTCCACTAACCATTTTAACTTTTCTTTAGAATCTCCCATAAGCACAGTATCATCAGCAAAAAGTAACTATGTCAATTCCCATTTTGTATTTGATACCCCATAATTTAATCCCACTCCTCTCCCCAACACCCTAGCATTTACAACCCCATCTATAAATATATTAAACAACTATGGTGACATTACACATCCCTGTCTAAGACCTACTTTTACCGGGAAGTAGTCTCCCTCACTATATATGAAACTCCTTGAAGCATGGTGTTCATGACAAGTGTCAGTAAACTGCTGACAGTGAAGCAGTGGAGTGACACTTGATGATCTTGCACTGCTGCAGGGAACCCCTGGCTTTGTTTGTTTTCACTGTTACACACAAACATGTCTGTCTGTCTAGCTCTGCCTATCTGTTTTTGTCTGCCTGTGTGTGTGTCTTTCCCTCTGCTTGTCTCTATGTCTTAGGGAAGGGCTCATAAACTTGTTGGTTTACGAGCCACTCCCTGATTGATAAGCAAGTGAAAATGCATATTACTTACGTCATGCTTATTATGCCTTATATCTACAAGCACTGTATAGCACTTTGCCTGGAAATTTTGGGTTATCCTAGGTAATTTACACTATGTATAATAACTGTACTTATGTGTACCTGTGAGAGACAGAGACAGCCAAAGCAAGCAAGCCAGTCAGCCAGCCAGCCAGCCAGCCAGCCACCCAGCCAGGAACCCAGGAAGCCAGCCAGCCAGGAACCCAGCCAGCTAGGAACCCAGGAAGCCAGCCAGCCAGGAACAAAGGAAGTCAGCCAGCCAGGAACCCAGGAAGCCAGCCAGCCAGCCAGGAACCCAGGAAGCCAGCCAGGAACCCACGAAGCCATCCAGGAACCCAGGAAGCCGACCAGCTGGCCGAATATATACGACATTCTGGCAGGATGACACTACCAGTGGTATCAGAAATGAAAGGATGTTGCACCTGGGTTATTATCGAGGTTTTTGATATTTCCTTGACCACTTGTGGCCACATACATCTCAAAGCCACTAACCTCTAGGTCAACATCACTTTCCTCTGAAAAGGGGAGTGTTAATACGACATGACATCAGTGAATCCCTTGTGTTTGCGATGCTATTTGCTCTAGCTGGCGCTCAATTGAACTGGTGCTCCCACAAGGTATTAATTAGTCCCAGATTTTTTTAATACTGCTTACACCGAGTGTAAAGACCCATTCTATACTGACCAGGTATCTTAGGCCAATCATGCCAATTTTGAAGGAATGAAAAATAAAACATTGATCTACATTCGTAGCGCTACGCACATGAACATCGATGTACACTTGGACAGTTTAAGGGTTAACAATAGTCTGAAATCAAAGCTATATTGAAAGGATTTATAAATTACATTCCAAAAAAGCTATACTTACGCATAAGACTTAAAATCATCAATATCGAGGCGAAGTTCATTATGCTCACGAGTAGCAATGACAACGTGCCACTCACTGTCATTGTACTTCTCGTAGGAACCTGGTTCAAAAAATATTTTTTGTAAAAGTATAAAATCATACACATTTTTTAATATAATCAAATTTATAATCAACACATTTTAAAGTAATATAATTTAACAATTCCTATCTCAAATATTACAACCTTCATCATCTTACTCTCAAATTCACCTTACTAATTCACTATCCCAAAAACTTTAGACACTTATTGAAACAAATTTACAACATTAATGTAAATAAAAAGATGCCAAGGTAATTGAATTTTATATATACAGTACGGTACAGCTGTAGATGTATAACCTTACCACCCCTAAATAAAAAATAAACCACTCAATGAGAAAGTGCTATAATGGATTTTTTTCTATTCCATTTCAAAGGACTCAGACAATACAAGTTGAATTAACATCTGCTAAGGTGCCACAGAAATAACTAAACTACATACTTATACATCCAAAATTTATTTAATGAGGTGACGAGGAGAAAAACATGAAATGTTGAGTGTACCAACAGTCCAGCACCTTGGAGCAATGGATAAAGATACAAATGCAGTATAACACAATCCTTCATTGACAACATTTTGCCCACACAGTGGCATTCATCAAGTCACAAACAGATCTACCCAGGGAGGATGTGTGTATCTATGTCAGGAATGTAGTGACATGAAGAGTCAGGTGAGGTATGTTGAAGCTTAATTCTTGTGTAACAGCTTGGTCAGATGTGAAGAGTCAGATGAGATATGCTGAAGCTTACTTCTTGTGTAACAGTTTGGTGAAATACATAGCTTGAAAAAGGTGGATTCAAGAAGGACCTACGTAGCTTGGGCCAATAGATTTGCTGCAGTGTTCCTCTCTACACTGATCTGTTGCTATGTGAGATAACAGTCAAGAAGCTTCCTGGCAAGGGGTTCATCTCTGTTGTAGAAGCTGTTGTTCTGAGTGAAGTTGTTTGAAATGCTGATTAATGGTGTCTTCTTGACAATGAGTTGCGCATCATTATAATTAATCAGTAAAAATGGCTGTGCTTCTGTAAGAAGCAAAGCCAATTTTCATTTGGTCCATTCTGCAGGCACAATGATGTTCAGAAATGTGTGTGTGAAGGTCTCTCAATGTTTCTCCCATATATATTTGGGCATAGTCATTGCAAGTTTGCTGCTGTGGTTTGGAATATTTGGTGGTGTTCCTTACTGGTGATATTCTTGACTAGTAAAAGCAGTGGACACTTGAAATTTGGTGTTGGAAACAGTGCTAGACACTTATGTAGCTATAGGACCCAACATGTATTTATAAGTAACAGTTACTCTGGAATACCTAATTATATTGAATTGATGGGGACTCAGTTCTAAATGTCATAAGGGCTGATCACCCTTAGGACTGAGAGGCAGCTGGGTCAAGCCTTTTTCTCAATATAATAGGTTATACTATAGACACACAAACGCACAATTTAAATAAGTAGTTTATAAAGTTGTATTTCTTTTTGTAAAAGTAAAATTAAGGTGTGGTAGAATTGTGGTAACTGGAGAATTGTGCTTGGCAACAGTCTTTTGTTTTTGGTGGGTGTGGGAGGAGCTTAGCTAGGCTCCTCCCCCCTCCCTCCCTCTCTCTCTCTGTTTTGGTTGACATGAAGGTGGAAGGACCTCTGGGTCCTTCTTTCTATCTTTTTGGGGCATGTGTGCTCCAGCGGTGAGTTTTTATAACTTAAGTTGTGGCCACCATACCCAGAGTGACTAAAGTGCGTCAAAACACTGGTTAGCCCAGAGTTAGTCAAGAAGAGAGAAGGACAAAAGTTGCTGAGATGCACCATGTGGGAGAACAGCTATGGAGTGTGTAGATTTTTGTTTTGAAAATGTGAGGCTGTAATTGTATCTTCTGTACATATATATTTAGAATACAGTTATATTTTTACAGTAGTAGTTTAAATAACCTGTGAGGAGGGCTGGTGAAAGGATATCAGAGACACTCAAGATGATCAGCCATGATGTAAGTATTACCCCTAGACAAATAAGGCCATTAAGTAAAAGCTACCCCACACTAGAACATGTGGTGAGAACCTTACTATCAAAGTAATAAGGGACAAACCAACGTAACAGACACATGTTTAATAATAGAGTTTTTAGAGAGTACTATGTATCTTCTTTCTGTAGCATCTCATCTAGGTGAGTTGTGTGTCCAGCACCTGCAGTCTCTGATGAAATTATGAAGATAGTGAGGTTCAAAAAAAATGTATTCTAGGAAAGAGCATTCTTCAGGAAATTCAGTGCGGCAGATACAGAGAGTACATAGAAAAAGGTTCATGATGACACCACGTTTAGACCTGGTGTCACAGTGTGAGTAGAAGTAGAGAAGACTGTGTTGACTGTTAGGTTTGTGGAAAACTTTGAAACAAAGGTTCAAGATCAGATTTGCAGAGCAGAACATCGAGGAAAGGTAGTGTGCCTTCAACTTCCTCTTTAAGTGTGAATTGGATGGAGGACCTAGACGATTCAGTGTCACTGCACTCCAACACAAATTCAACCAGGTCAAACCCTAAATTGAAAACTAGAAGAGAACTACCAGTTTCACCAGCGTAAGAGAACTCCTGGTACCACGAAAATACTGAAGGGAGCACAAGGAAATGGAAATGAAATAGGCACCGAAAGCATCAGTGACAGGAGGAGAGGTATGAACATGATTACTATGAAGAGTTGTAGTGTGGTGAATTGCAAGTTTGATATCTATTGGACAGAGAGCGTTGTCATGATTTAGAATACTGGAAATGTAGAGAAAGCAAGGTACAGGATCTTTTGCAAAAGAAGCAGGTTTGGAAGAGAAGAAAGACAGAATTTATGAAATTGGGAAGATAGCCAAGGCAAGAGAGTGAGCTGCGTAGTGGAAACTTTAGTTAAAAAACTGAGGCCCACAGATGTGTAAGGCATGGAGAATAATTCAGACCCAAAGATGTGTAGGACATGGAGAAAGAGAGAAACTGAGACCCAAAGATGTGCAGGGCACAGAGAGAGAAACAAACACTATTTTCCTGACAGGAGCATGGTAAGAAAAAGTAGTGAAAGTATATACCATTATGCATAAATCTACAAAAGAAATAAAAAGAAAAGCCTGTCAGAAAGCACTGGACATGAACATCAAGGAAAGGAAGCAATATGCTAAATTTACAATCAGCTTTGCACTTTTTGCAACTTATTCTCTGGCCTTGGCTGTTTTCCTAACTTTATAAACTCTGCCTGCTACCAGCCAAAAGTCTTTTTTTAGGTTACACTGATGTGGAAAAAATATTTCTTTAACCCACTGGCCATCTGCAATCAAGGCAGGATAATCCATTAAAGGAAGACATATTTGACATCATTCACTCAACAACTGTCTTACCAGACATATGCAGACATCATAATTCAAATGACCCCCCATCCCATCCCTCTTTCAGAGTGCAAGCATTGTACTTTGCTCCTCCAGGACTCAAGATCAACTAATCAGTTTTCCTGAATCACTTAAATAATATCACCTTGCTCACACCCCAAGAGCATAACAAACCATAAAAACCACTTGTCTCCATTCACTCTGATCTAACATGCTCAAAACAAGCCTGCTGGATGCTCAAGCCCCCAGCACTCAAAACCTCTTCTATCCCCTTCCTCCAACCCTTTCTGGAACCCTACCCCTCCTTCCTTCCATCCCAATTTATTCACTCTCTTGGTAATCCTATTCTGCTCCATCCTCTCTCTAAATGCCCAAACCATCTCGACAACACCTCAACACCTGTCAATTACAGTATACCCTTGGTTACCCCACACTGTGTTATAATTTCTATGTTCCAAATTTTCTAGCCAATATTCACACTACACATGCCTTCAAACATGCCACCTCAACTGAATCCAGCTTCTTCCCTGCTGCATCATAATACAAAAACATTGCAAATTTAATATTTATTAGCATATACAGTGGACCCCCGGTTAACGATATTTTTTCACTCCAGAAGTATGTTCAGGTGCCAGTACTGACCGAATTTGTTCCCATAAGGAATATTGTGAAGTAGATTAGTCCATTTCAGATCCCCAAACATACACTTACAAACGCACTTACATAAATACGCTTACATAATTGGTCGCATTCGGAGGTGATCGTTATGCGGGGGTCCACTGTATAAACTTCTAAATATTTTTTTTGCAAGTTTTTACCTTTTATAGCATAAGGTATAAGTGACTGGAACTCAAGCATACAGAAGACGTGTGTGAATGTGTTACATCTGAGTAAGTGGAGGCCAGTGGTTCTGAGATGATGATGTGCTGTTGGAGTGAGCAAGGTTACATTCATGAAGAAATTCAGGGAAACCATTTAGCAGGACTCAAGTTCTAGAGGTGGGAAGTACATTGCCTCTTTCCTCTCTAAATGATGTGTACAGATGTTGTAGTTGGAAGGGTCATTTAAATTGTGATATTCATGCAATTTTCACATGACAGCTATTAAACAATCAATAATGAATGCATTTTCATTTTTTTTTGGTCACCCTATCTTCATTTGAAATGACCGCTGTGATAAAAAGAGCTTTCTGACTGGGACAATACAAGCACCTTGCTGAACAAGTTTATAATTAGAAGTGTACTGTTGTTTATAGGGAATTTTTATGGATTAGTTATAACTTAATATTATAAAAAAAAAACTGTTAAAACCAGTGCATGATGCTGAACCTTCAAAGGAAGGAGAGAGAGAGACAACAGGCAGTATAATTATTATATAATCATGGAAAATGTTAAGCCTGTGTAGATCATTCACCACTCACAGAACTTAAGATCAATGAACAATGCACTGGCTGAGCTTGACTGAAGAAGGGTGAACTGGAAGACAGACTGGATGGTCAGGGTCTATTCGATCTCTAGAAAGTTGTCGGGATCTTCCAGAATGAGTCGACTCGCAAGCCTTGTTGCCTGCCTGACCAATCTCGGTGTAAAGACAAGGGATTATGAACACTGACATAATTTCATCTACGCAACTACTCACACAACATAAAGCCCAACAAGAGTAAGCATTACACACA